CCGTCTATTGAAAGCTCGACGTTCGAAATCTCGAGTGTATCGAACGTCGGGATTTCGATAGACGGGATTTCGGTTGTCGGGCTTGCGATTGCCACCGATATATATGTTATAAAGTTTAGGTGCAGCTCTTGCTTCAAAAAATCTGGCCACCCCTGGTATATACTATATTATTTTCGAAAAAGATAAACGCAACTCAAGCAGTCAAAAATATCAGCTTACAGATGGAAGTGCTTAAGTTTGTCTGATGCGAAAAAAAAATCGTGAACGCCTATGGACTATGCAAAACGTCAAATATGTTACGTGAATTACTAACCTAAACGCTAATACTTCAGTGACGTACATGGAGGGTAAACTATTATGCATAATGTATGACCCGTTCTTAACGTGGGGTCATGCCGTTCTTAACGTGTTGTGTTGATATTTTGATAAATCTGTATGTATATGTATAATATCATAATAAGTGTTTAATCACAGTTTGTTATAAATGAGTAATGAGTTGATTGATTTTCCATTCTTGATAATTTTTATAGAATTTACGAGTTCATGTGGGAAAGTTGATTAAAAAAAATGTAAATTTGGTAATTTTTAAATTCGATCAGAATCTCTCTATTAGGAGCTAAGCAATTTTGTAATTCTATTGGGTTGTCAAGAAAGTAATTATCACAAATAGATAGCATAATGTTAGTTTTTAAAAGACTTCTGTCAATGTTATGATTTTCCTTTTGCAATTTGAAGGGAATTATTCGTAATTTTATTTGTAGCTGTTAGTCAATTTAAATAGGAGTTTACTTTTTTATTTCCATAATATCAAGAAAGCTGATGAGGCTTACAAAGCGACATGTGAAATTTAGGATGTTGATTGTTTAACAGAATATACGAGTCAGAATTGGTTTAAAAAAAAAGTTTTGGATATTTTTCACTCAAAGATGAACCCAGAATGTTGGTCATCTTTGACCTGCTGTATTTAGGATGTTCTAATCAAAATCATAACGGATTGTCATATAACTGTGCAAGAGATAGGTTAAATCTAACATAATAATTACAACTGTAAACTTATTCGTTTTGTTAACTTATTTTTTTAAGAATTTTATTATAAAAAGTACTGAAAAATATATTTAAGACTTTCTCTTTTTAAAATGTATATCTTTTTGAATAAAAGATTTACTAGTTTCATTTTATTCTAATCATTAACTTTAACTGAAATACATTTTTGGAAAACCTTAATTTCAATATATGAAAATATGTTCTTTTCATATATTGAAATTAAGGTGTGCATACTTACCAGTAAATTGCATTAACATTAATATTGTATTAATATATCGCTTTACACGTTTCTAAATTAAATAAGGAGATTTTCAACAAAGAACTAGATTGTTTTTTATATCACCATTGAAATTAATAAATACATAATTTATTAGTATAAAACAGAAGTTTGTTTCAATGTGTCACATAACTGGAAATGTTCGTATTTATAATAATAAAATTGCCTTTGTTTTTGTTGGAGGACGATTGAAAGCTGTCTTTCTTTCGCATGGTTCAAAAAATATTGTAATTGTAAAAATAAGGATTATCTTTCTCACGGTACACAATTCCTCGAAATCGTGCAATTTTAATTGTAGCAGTCGAATAGATTTGATTATGTGTTCTATTTGATTATATCTTCTATTTGAGGTGAAAATAATGATATTTTTAAATTTCCAGGTGACAATGGAATTATGGTTTACCCTCTTCATCATAGTAATTTCAAGCACGCAAACTCGACAGTGCTGCACATCGAAGAAGACCCCAGGAAGCACCGAGCAACTTGTGTGTGTGAACGTGACAACACATTACATGGAATCATTGCGAATCAACCGTACCGACAAGTTGGTATGTCAGGGATGCCATTTGAATACTTTGACCAGCGCCGCATTGAACTTCACCCCGAACCGTTTGCACTTACTCTACCTTTCGTCCGCTCAGATGCACCGCATCGAAGACAACGCATTCTCCAAGTTAGTTCAACTGAAGAAGCTTCTGCTGCGCAAAAACCACCTAACCGAAGTAAACGAGAAGACGTTCATCGGATTACGCATGCTGATCCAATTAGATCTGAGCAACAACATGATAGAAATCTTACCTGACGACGTCTTCAAGCCAATGTTGTACTTGGATCTGCTCAATTTGAACGAGAATTTGATCAGAGATTTACGACCGCGATGCTTCAATAACTTATCGTATTTGAAGTACCTGTACTTGAACAACAACGATATCGAATCTGTTGATCCGTACATCTTCAAGTACATGACGAGTCTGAAGATTATCTATTTGGAGAATAACAGGATCAAAGAGCTAAGTCCTCTAGCTTTCGCGAATCTCAACAATCTGGTCTTCATGTACTTGAACAACAACAGTTTGGAGCGTTTGAGCGATTACAATTTTGTTAAATTGACGAATCTCGTTGATCTGCAGCTGAGGATGAATTCTATTAGCAGTATTCCGGCGAGTTGCTTTAATGGTTTAAGGAAACTGAAGTACTTGTATTTGGGTGACAACAACATTTCGAGACTGGAAGTGCACAGCTTCACCGGGCTGGATTCGCTGAACGTTCTGGATTTGTTACATAACGAGATCAGAGAGTTCTCTTTGGATTATCTCGGTGGAACGCCGGAGTTGAACGTGATATGGATGGAGGGTAATGCGATTAGAGTGTTGGATTCTGGGGATTTCGGAGCGGTGTTGCAGAATCTGAAGAGTTTTGATGTACAGATGAATCAACTGGAATGGTTCAACTATAAGCTTCTTCACAAGAAGCTGCCTTCTTTGAAGAATCTAATTGTCGGAGGGAATCTCTTCAAATGCGAGTTTCTTCTGCCCATGATGGATTATTTTGATGGTGTAAATGCCACCTTATGCGTGGACTACGGATGCAACGAAACGGATATATACGAACTTGCTGACACGTTATGCAATACTGCGTTTTACAACGAGAGCATCGACTCTGGTGATTCCGGCGCACAAACATTTAATTTCCTATTAGTTAAGTTCTATTTGTTTGTATATTTTGTTGATTTTTGTTTTGCTTTTTCTTTCTCCTGATAAGCATGTTTTTTGTGCATATAAAATGTATTAATAAAGAGCACGGATGTACATTTTTTTTAAAGAGAACTAGTGATATCACTCGCATAGTATTATTAGCTTTGTACAAACCTTATATATTAGTTTGTTATATAAAATGAATTAATTACAAAAAGTATATATAAATATAAAAATTGTTGTGTTAATTTTTATTTATCAACTTAACTATACTTCTTAATATTATTTATAGTTATAATTTTTATGTTATTACAAAAGAAGCATAAGAATTTATTAAGAAGTTAAATAACATTTTTTTAAATTGTTCATAAGATGTGGGTGAGTGTTGCGTAAGCTAATTAGATCATAGAATACAAAAATTAAAGATGAAAGTCTCATCTTTCCAACGAGTACATTGACAGATATGTGCTGTCATCCATTCATCTGCTACAAACTGTCAAATATGTCATCGCTGGAAATGGACAATCTTCGCGTTTTATATATTTTCAGGATAACCACTTAAACAATTTACATAATTCAACAAAATTTGTAAACTGAAAACTGCCACCTTTCATATGAGTGTGCAAAAAATAATCTAGCTTTATTATTTCGGAAATTTTCAAGCGTTACACAACTTGTTACGTACTAAAAAATTTTCATTTTTATCGCGTTTTTTTCTTAATAACTCGAAAGCTATGAAACTTTTTCCTTATTTTTTTCCTAAGAATAGCTCCATCGTTATGAAATTTATTATTTTTGCAAAATTTTCTTGAAACGACCTGCATTGGATATGCAAATTAAAGATAAAAATCTTACCATTTCAACGAACCTATTGGCAGATTGATGCCGTTCGTCTGATATATCTTCTAGATTTAAAAAAACAGTATTATTAAAATCAAGTTGTTCTTTATTTTTGACAAAATAGACATGTATATGTCATTGTCAAGAAAACTGAATATCTTAAAGAAATCTTATTAATTTTGAATAAATATAATTCAAGAAAGAGAAATATGTCTGATGAAAATTGCGGTTGCCAAAAAACTTTCGATTTCGTTCCATCGAGTATAACGGACGCATTTGGAACGGTGTACGAATCGAATACGATAAACGTAGATTTCGGAAAGGTGCAAGTCGGATTAAAGAAATGGTTAAAATTCCCAATAAACAGAACTCAGGTATGATCGATATACATAAACCTGTAGATAAGAAAAAATAAGTGATAATTTCAGAATGAGAATATTTTCAATATAACCCGAGACCCAGAAACGAATCCCATCTACCAGGTGTTCGGCTTCAACAAGTACAAGATCAAAGAGCAGGATACGTACTTGAAAGTCTTCTACTTGCCGGTCTTCGCTCAAACCATAAACATCGACTACTTCGATATCACGGATAGTTATAATAACGTGACCAGAGTTTGCGTTACGGGCGAAGGTGTTGGACCGGAAGTTCGAGCCTCCAGAGATTTCCTAAAGTTTCATGTTTTCGGTGATAGGAAGGTGTGCAAACATACGGTTGAATTAAAGAACGATTCTGAGGTGGAAGCTCAGTTTTCGATGGAAGGATGTGATGCTTTCAATGTGGATAAGACTTCTGGAACAATTGCAGGAAACGGTTACGTCTACGTGAATATCACTTACATTCCAAAAGCTTTAGGTACACATGTGCAAAATTTGGAATGTTTAGTTTTGCATCAGGTTTAACAAAATAACATTTCCTTTTTACAATTTTTCTAATTATCTGCGTTTGTAGCAACCTCTCATAATTAAGCTGCTTGGAATTTGTTCGGAAAATGATGTTATTCAGGAACAGATGATTGACTATCCGGATGTTACAAGTCCTGGATCATTCAATAAGTATATGGGTGATATTCAGACTTGTTTAGAGTCTTTCCCTTTGGTTTCGTTAAGTGAAAATTATTTGGACTTTGGAGCCGTTCAATGTCTTAACGATGAAGTCAAGAAAATATCTAAAACTATGGTAACTTCATTGACTAATCATGGCGCATATTTTATAACCATTCAATGGGAAAGTAGCAATGGTAAGTCAATATTTAGTTTCTTTTCATATCCATATTAAAGAGATCAAACATTTTTTCAGATGATAATTTCGATATTTTTCCAAAATCGTTGGAAATCCCTGGCGACGAATCCGCCCTTTTTGAAGTTGTATTTAAACCAGATAAACCAGATAACGTATATTCAAGAACACTAATAGGAAATGTACATTGGAAAGACGGAGGAGACGCTATATTACATATTCCAATACCAATAACTCTTCGTTTAACAGGTAATTCAAAATTACTATTATTTACTAATGCATATAAATACATACTTTAACTAGTTATTTCATAGAACATCTAATATAAATAGTTAAAGAATTAAATAGTTTTTTAACTATCTATTTATTCTATATATTAGTGTATAGAAACTGTATAATATCTAGAATAGCGTTTCTCAACCTTTTCACGCATTCCCAACATATTTGTTGAGCTGTTCTGCGACCTAATTGCAAGTTAACAGCTATCATTCCACCCATAGCTTGAGAAACTGATCTATAATATTGACCTTATCAATTTAAACTGTAAAAATTCAATTTCAAGGTCATTCTTTTGCCGAAAACACCTACTGGATTCCTCAGCTTGAAATCGAACCGGAAGTGAGTATTCTGCCACCCGCGTTGCCAGGATACCCATCGTTCCAAACGTTCCTCCTAAAAACCAAAGGTCACCTTCCGGTTTTGTACAAATTTCTACCGCCGAAAAAATCGTAAGCGAATAATTTTTCGATTGTAAGCATCTAATAATATTTTGCATTTTATTTAGGAATTTCATAGTGAAACCTGCGATGGGTCTGGTGCAAGGTTTTCAAGTTATGGTCGTGCAATTGTGCACAGAGGTGCAAAGCAACAATAAGAATGGTAAGATTTACGTGGAGCAATGGTGCTTGCAGCTGAACGGTCAGAAAACGCACAAGATCCCTTTCTATCTCAAGGGATTCGCCGAACGTCCGAAGATGATGATCGGCGATGAAAACGTTGTGAAGTTCACTGCGATTCAAAGTGGTTGCATGCAGAAACAGTTGGTGCCGATAAGGAATAAGAGTCAACATTACTTAAAGTAAGTTTAGTAGTTGTTTATCATTCAATCATATTAGATAAGGTTGAAAATGTGCAAAATTACTTTTTTTAACCAGTGCTTCAATTGCGGTATTTAAGTTACTCTACGTGACAGTATAAAATTTCAATGACATATGTTAAATCGTTTACAAGATATTATTTTTTAAATAATATTTCATGACTTTACAAATAAATTCATAACTTCTAAATGTATTTCTAAATGTATTTTAAAAAACAAAAGTTCATATGAAGCGGGCTTTTATCTTCAAAAATTTCGTGTAAAGAAGACAATCAACTCTGAAAAAAGTTCAATTTCAAATATATAAAAAAATATTTTTTAAATAAAGGTAAAATTCTGATTACGTGCAAAAGTTCATTAAAATCTGCCGAGCCTTTTAGAAGATATTCAATATTTCTAACAAAAATAGTTTGTTTATTTTTGACCATTGATAATGACAATATTATTGCAGATATGAGTTCTTGATTAGCACTGAAAAGTTAGAAATACCTGATGCCAACGGCGAATTGGCGCCGAATGAACGTAAATTGATCGAATGGAGTTACAAGACAACTGGAAGTGAACTCACCATACACACTATAACCTGCAAATGCTATGCCATGGAGAAGATGAAGGCTATCCAAGGGGAACCAGTAGAAATTGACGTCTCAGTGTACACCGATTCTTCGTTCTCCGAACTCTGCGTTAGCTAATTTCATTAAATAAACATATCACACTTTTTCTGAAACCCTGTTAATTTTTTTTTATAGTCTATTCCGAACAGCTTCAATCTGGGACTAGTTGAATGCCATTCGCAGCACTCGACGAAATTCGTGTTGCGAAACTTTGGATTCTCCGTCATACATTTCAGTCTGATTGCCAAAGACCACAACGGAAATATTCATAAAGATATATGCTTGATGCCTTCACGTGGAAGCTTAGAACCTGATGGAGAGTTGTCCATTAACGTGCACTACGTAGTTGAAAATACTGGGCGTCATTTGGTGAGGGTGTATTACTTGCTCAGGATGTGGGAAAACTGTTGCAGTTCTCACTTGGACTACGAGAAACTAATCTTTTCTTTAACTTGTCAGAGCAGTTATCCAGTGGTGCAAGTAAGATCCTTGAGAAATACCTTTTTTATAATGAATTTGTCTTAATTTATCATCACCTAGATTGTGGATATTGCCAATCATGATTTCGGACCGCTCTTTACGAAATCTACTTTATGGGAGTTGATGAATATAGATGAGTATGTATATTTGCATTTAATCATTAAACATATAAGGTATAAAACTTATCCAGAAAGTAAGTTCCAATTGTAAAGATGGATTTAAAATAGAATATCAGTTAGATAATCTTTTTTCTATAAATATAAATTTTGATCTATTTTAAAAGTTATTCCTTCAAAAAGATCCAAATTTTCACAGAAGACTTTTTTTAATTTTTTGTCTCAAATTCGTCTTTTTGATTTGTTTTGAGAATTATTAAAATTAATTGTAGAAGTTAAAATTTAAAGATAAATTAGAAAATGAATACTTGATTAACTTGATTAACAGATTGAACAAGATTTTGCGAACTATTAAGAAAAACGAGAAGGCTGCCATTTTGTTGGAGGTACCGGAAGTGGAATTGGGCAGCGATACTTTAAAAGCAATCTTCATGTTTCGCAACGAATCAGTCTTCCCTACAGAATTATGTCTCAAACGTAAGCAGCTATGTCACTGCGAACTGCAGAAGATCGAGGATTCGATTTCTGTGAGAAAATTGCGCTTCAAGTGTCCGCATCGCGAAGTCTTACATCTTGACATGGATGAAGGCGCAATTGAAGTTAAAACCTCTTTCTCCGTACAACAAAGAATATGTCTAAATTTAAATGTGATTAAGTGTAGGCCAAGTCCGTCCAGACGTTGCACATGAAGGCCAGATATTATTTACAAGGAACCACTCATCTGTCGTACGACCTCTTCCTCGCTCACAACAGGTGCATCCAGCTGGATTTCAAGGTCACCGCCGTCGCGGATTATGCGTTGATCGCGTCCCGCTATGATCTGAGCTATTGTGTGATGTTTGACGATGTGTGCTTGAGCGAATTTGATCCTTGCACTCAGGTAACATCTTTTATTTTCCTCAAACAAATTACATTCAAACAAAATCTAACAATTATTGTACAAAACGATAATTTATCAAACCCTAATGAACATTTAAAAAAAAAGAAATAAAACTAAATGAGCTTAATTCCCAATAAATGTAGATTTAGTATAATTTATTAGAAGAATTTTCATTTCTACGATGAATTAATCATTGTTTAACTACATTTTCAAATATAGTCGATTTAACTTATTTATTTAAGATAGTTTTTAAACTAAAATTGTATCTGATCAATAATTATTATAGTTTATTGATTTTTTTTTCTCTTTCATGTTACAGTGTTTCTGGTTATATAACAATGCAAATAAAATTGTAGAGCATAGCTTGGAAACCATCTCCCTCGACATGATCAACATCGATTACGGCTTCAACGTATTAAGCTGTCTGAATCCAACTGGTGAAATCATGAGTTACTCGTCAAAACCATTGATTTTCACCATAAAACCAATAGAATTGAGGACTATTAATGTTAGATACCCGGCGCTTCCATCAACACATTTGCAATCAATAATTATCCATTTATGTTTAGCTTTGTCTACCTTTAAACCTTGGCGAAGAAAGAATCTATCTGAGGTTCAGCTCCACCGGAAAAAGCGTCTTCATTAATAAAGAGAAGAGCAAAATTTTCGCTCCGCTGACTGTATATAACGAAGAAGTTCCCATCACGCTCTCCCAGGACAAATTGATCTTGGACCCATTTCCAGTGTGGAGTTACGTGACCAGGATGATTTTCATACGAAACATGACGAAAAACCGGATAATTGGTTATTCGTGGAATAAGTATTTTATTATTAGATTATAATTGTGGAATTGTTAAGTGTGCATTTTTAGTTGCAAATTGGATGGTATAGTGGATATTAAAGTGAATTGTCGAAAAGGTGTTTTAAAGCCACGCGAATCTAAGAGCGTCATTATTCAAGTGAAATCGTTCGGAAGACCTTGCAAAACGAGACTGCAGCTTCCGTGCAAACTGTTGGATCACAGTCTTTATTACAAGCATAGAAAAACTACGCAAGATTACAATGCGCGACAAGAGGAGATCAATCTGGAATTTACCATCACCGAAAATGGAACTTCTTTCCCTGTAAGTAAGAATATGATATATATATATATTAGGGTTTGTCTGTTTTTGGAAACCGTTTTTTTTTAATGACTAAAAAAACGATTTTTTAACCATTTGACACAAAAAAAAACATTTTGACAAATAAAACGGGATTATTGTTAAATAACAATAACTTTAAAAAAGGCTATGAAAAAATAAATTCATATTAATTAAATTTCACTCTAATATTTTATCCCAAAACAGTAAAAAAAAATAGTCACTGCTTGACTGTTATTGAAAATATTACAAAATGCCGCAATACCTCGCATGGTCCAACCAATATCCCAGACTGTTTGAAACCGGACTAATCGTGGAATTTAAAACCGAATAAAAATAAACAGGAAAAGACTTGACTATGAAAAAATAATGTCTTGTGAAAGATGTTGGAGTACATCTTTTAGTTTTTATTTTTTCTTATTTTTTTCATAACATTATGTGAAATATGTATGTAAAAAAATATGAAACAATTGACAAAAAGTATATCCATTTTAATTTTAAATTTAGTAAGAAGTGAAGTTTTAGTTGAATATCTTCTTGTATGAAATTATTACATAGAAAGATATATATTTTATTAGTTAAAATAGCATCCTAAATACACGTTTTATTAATAATTTATTTGAATTATGAATTTTTTAGATCAATGAAATTGAAATATTTCCATGTCCTAAACAATTCTATGTCGGCATCGCTATTGACGTGACCATAACGAGTATTCACGATCGCGATTTGCACTACACACCGATCCAACAAATGCAACAATCTCCTCACAGCCATCTGGATTACCATCTGGATTCGGTGGTATTCAAATGCGTGTCGAATTTGGAGCACGACGTGGATAAACCAATAAAATCCCGAATAATATCGTTGCGTGACATGGAAACGCAAATGAGCAAAACGGTCGATGTCAGTCTGCAATCGACAGAAAGTGACACCACCCAAGAATCGGAGAGTGCAGGGATTGATTTACTAGAGAAAACAATGGAGTGTATCATGGGGTAGATTTCTTATATTCACTATTGTATCTATTCACTATTTGTTCATTAATTATTATTGTATTTATTTAAGGGACGTCATTTTCTCTGAGCTGTTTAAAGAGTTTCTGGGAATGTACAAAAGAAAATCGATTCTGTACTATGAGCAAATCAAGAATAACCAAGAGAGAGATTACGAGAGGCTGGCGAAGGAGTTGTATACGGATCCGCAGCTGGATGAAATCTCTCAGGTGTTGAGTGAGGTCATGACAGATAGTCTTCACGACATGTTTCAATTGGGACCGCAGGGAAAGACGTCGCCAGATATGGAGAAGTTGGCGAAGGAATTGGAAATTAATTACGAGAAGGAATTAACTGTAGAGCAGAAAACGTGTACTTGTCATAAATAATGATACTATTAAATGTTATATATATTATTTTTATTTTATAACAATAATGTTTTTCAATTTAATGAAATGAACATAACGTTTAAATTATTCAAGAATCTTATCATATTTTAAGTATTCTTTAAGGCCCCCTGGAGAAATCGCAGAAACCTTTTATGTCGCGAATCAAAAAGTTTGAGAATCACATATTGATTTGGAAGTCAATACTGTTAAGATCTTTCACTCAAGTGCCAATTAAATATGATTTACTGAAAAATGATAATATTTATTTTTGAAAGCATTACATAAGAACGCTAAACAAACATATTTATTCGATTTTTATTACTTCTTATAATATAACAATCATTTAAAAGTCATAATTATTGCAGAATTCTCGGAAATACAGGAAATTGGTGATGCATAAATTTAGAATTGTTAAAAACAATTAATATGTGTATATATTCTGAAAAGTGAGATTTCAACCGTATTTAGAATAAAGTTCGATTCGGATCAAATAATTTGTGTTAACCTTCTTGAAGATGAAAGAAAACAAAGTGAATTTTAGACTTTGATACTTTTCTATGCAAGTAAATAATGGCAGTAAAGCAAAAACTAAGAAATATTCTGCTAACGGACAAGTTGCTTTAGATGAAAGAACTGTACTAAAGTAATTTTAGAATTAATTATATGCTGGTAATCGTGATGAAATCAATACATTGACCCGCATTAAACGAAACGTAAATTATCGGAGATATTAACAATATCAAAATTTTGTTCAAACTAAAACCTTTAAATATCTCTAAACAAAACATACGACTTAAACCACTTCCATAATCACCTATGACGAATGTTCGTTTTGTCTTTTTGTCAATATTCAGTACATTAGTATGTGACTCCAGTCTATCTACTACTAAATGTTAGTATTGAATCCTCGACCATATCGCTATGGAGATCTTGGTATATTTATTTCTTCTTGACGAAATACGGTGTCTAGATGACTTTTCTTAGACATTTTGTTCAATTTGATAGCTGCACCTCACAATTGATTACCATACGTCCATACTAGTTTCAGTATTACTTTGAATATTAGTAATTTATATACTGCTGATAATTCCGACCTTTTATATAATAGGCAGTAGAGTTTTCTAAACTTTGTTTCTAATTATTCCCTCTTTGTGGTCTTTCCAGATGAGTCTTCTGTCGAGATGCATGCCTAGATATTTGACTTTTATTGATTTGGACAGATCTTGTCCATTAAATCTTAAAGTTGGGCAGGTGTCTTTCTTAAGATTGAATGTGATATACACGGATTTCATTTAGTTAACTGATATTCTTCATTTTTAGAGCCATTCCTGTAACTTATCTAAATTTTCATAAAGATTTTCAGCTCCGTCTGAAAAATACTAGTGGCGCCTCGTTTTGAACTAATATTCTATGTGTGCGCCACCACAGTGGATTTATATATAATTTTATGTAAAGACTAGGGCAGTTATATACGCCGCTCATCCGCAAAGGTTTAAATTGATTGTGAATCTAACAAATAATGGTATAATTTCGAGTAGTATACCAGTTTCAGTAAAATAGCTTTAGGACTTTACAATATAAATTATTTAGATGGTTTCATCGTGATACCATTAGGACTCAAAGGGTTAACAAGCGAAATATATTGAGTGTAATAAATGTTACCTATGTTACTATCTTATTTAATTATTATACAGTATGATCAATCTAATTGAACAATTCCTGCGTTGTGTTTACGCATCACATGTAGTGATTAAGAAAACTAAATATGTTGTTAAATTGTAAATTAATAACGTTTCTTACAATAGTCACAAAAAAACATGTTTTTAGAAGTAGGTATATTTCTAATAAATTTCAATTAAATTTCCTCTTATAAGAAAATCATAAATCAGGAAACAAACAAGTATATAAATACAACACCCTGTATAAGTTATTTTTAAGTGTAACTAAGTCTATTATTAAAGGGGGCGCCACTGCAACCGTTTGGTAAAGAATAAAGTTTCTCGGATTGGTGGAAATACCCGACGTTGCTACATCATAACAAACCAATTTATTTATCGACAACAAAAAATAGTTCTTCCGAAGCATTTCCCTAAATACCTTCACTAAACCCCTGATTCTATAAAGTATCAAACGATAGACCACAACGTCAGTATAATAAGAAACGTTTCATGTTTGTTTACTTTGGAAGTTTGGCAACATCGCCACGCGATTCAAATGTGGACGCATATCGAGAGTACGCCACCTGATTGTCACTGTGCGTGACATTGTCCAGTTCGGAATTTTGGTATTTTTCAGCGGTTTCAGTGGATTTTTAGTTAGTTCAAATTGTTCCAGGACGTACCTGAACCCTCACCATGAGTTCGGTAAGCGAATTGGTTCGAATCGGAATCCCATTAGCCATCCGACCGATCCGGCAATAACAAATTCATCCTAATCAGTTGTGAAAGCCACACTGTTTAACCGTTTTTTTTTCTTCTTCTTTCTCTTTTCGACGCTCTTATCAACATCATAGATGTCCAATAACGTGGAAAACCTTTCTCCGCAAGTAATCCGTGGCGTCGTCAGGGAAATGCAAGATCTAGTCACCAATCCACCTGAAGGTATCAAAGTTCAAATAAACGATGAGGATGTTACAGATATACAAGCCTTCATCGAAGGACCTGCAGGTAAACAAAACTCAGCAATTTGTTTATATAGTTATTAATATTGTTTTGTTTCAGGCACTCCATACACTGGGGGTTTATTCAAAGTAAAACTTACCTTGGGAAAGGATTTTCCACAAACGCCACCGAAGGCATTCTTCTTTACAAAGATCTTCCACCCGAATGTGGCTGCCAATGGAGAGATCTGTGTGAATACATTAAAGAAAGATTGGAAACCTGACCTCGGTATCAAACATGTACTGCTTACCATCAAATGCTTACTGATTGTGCCTAATGCTGAATCTGCATTGAACGAGGAAGCTGGGAAACTTCTGCTGGAGCATTATGATGATTACTCACAAAGAGCCAAAATGATGACTGAAATCCATGCACAAGTAAGTACAAATACTATATTAAAATTATTTTTTACTTTGAATATAAATTATGTAATTATCAATAATTACTTGAAACAAGCACTGATTTAATAATAAAATCTAAATTATTTCATATATTGAAATATGTATGCTATAAGATTTAATTCATGAACAAAATCTTATTAGAAATGTTATTTTTAACATCAATGCAGATTTTGAAAGTGTACACACATATCAGCACAAAAAATCATTTCTCAGACAAAATGAATATTTATTATATTAGCAAAACTATACCAATTTATGGTTTTATAAATATGAAAATTTGTTATATAATAATTACATGGTTCTGTAACAAAAATTCAAATTAAACAAAGTATAATAAAGATTCGCAATAAAAATTTTGAAAAACAATTTTTTGTATTTTTTTAACAGAAAATTTATATTGAAATGAAACAAAGAGTTGTATGCATTTAAATCAATCAAATTTTATTTATTTCAGCAGCAAAAATTATCAAAATGCGGAACGAGCGAAGGACCAATGGCGAAAAAGCATGCGGGCGACAAGAAGTTGACAGCAGAGAAGAAGAAACTTATGAAGGACAAGAAGCGGACTCTGAAACGTTTATGAAATCCATAGTATTTACATTATTTTTCTTTCCCTATACATACATTTCTATACATATATATATATTATTATTTTTTTCGCGATGTACGTGAGAAAGAAGAAGAGAGACGGTTTTCCTCCCTCTGTCGTTCGATTTCTTTTCCTTTTTTTTTTAATTTTTATGTACAAAAAAGTTTATATATATAATATTTAATACGGTTGTTTTATTTTATGTTGGTCTAAATGTGAGCGAGAGATTGCGGGTTCCTTGTCTGCGCGTTTCTATTATTCTTTTATTTTGATAATGATGATGAACTAATTAATTATGTTGTGTTTTATTATTATTATTTTTATATATCGATTAATTATTACTCCTGGACTGATCTTCCCCCCTCAACAACAAAAAAAACCCAAAAATTAGATTTGTAATTATAATGTTTAGGACATGTATGAAATACTACTATTGTGCGGAGGCGATTGGCGAGGAGACGATGATTTGTTTTATTTTTATATTTGCAGCATCACGAAAATTGTTCACTATTATATATATTTACGTATGATTCTTTTCTCGTGTGATTATATTTTGTTAATTTCATTAACTTTTTATCTTTAATTATTGTTTTGTTTTTATTTTTTTGGTACAAATGATGAAGAAAAATGCGTGCGTGTATTTAAATGTCACTATTTTTTTTCGATGTGTAATTATTTATTAAAGATATTAGAAAGATACCAAAAAACTGTTTTATTTTCTTTACAATCCAAGCATGTACATTTCTTTATTTTGCAAAAATCGATTTGTAACTTTCAACTTTGATTGGTTATAACATGGTTCAATTTGGCATTCTAGTAAATCAAAGTAATGTGACATTTTCAACTTTGACAGCTTAAAACAGAAGAACGGTGCTTGTCACAAAGGTGATAGTATGCTCGTTGGAATGGCTATTGTTTTAGCTTTAATTATCATCTTTAATAATATGATTATCATGTATTGCTATGGAGTAATTAAATAAAAGGTGAAGACATTTATACAGATTGAAAGATCATCATATCTCGTTTAATAATTTAGATTATTGATGACAGATTCTTATGTAATATGTAAAAAGTGTGAGGGTTATGCAAAAATTGAAAAAAAAGCCTATTGAAAATGCAAAATGGTCGACAATATTGTAAAATCTAATAGATAATCTAATTACAATTCGTAGTTCGAGAAATGATATAAAACGTAAAGAGAGTACAGAATATCGATGATTACCACAAATCTGACAATACGCTTATGTAATTAGCATTCTTTGTTCAAGTACAGGTGATAGGGTTTAGTTCTATATAATTTTAAAATCAACAATTAATAAGCGGCGCAAAACGACGTTTACCTGTATTGCAATAAACAGGAAGACAGCACATTTTCAACTTTGACAGCTTAAAACAGAACATCGATGACTGCTACACATCTAATAGTACGCTCATTCAAAAGATCATGGTTTTATATTTAATTTTCATATTTGATCATGTTTCGATTGAAGAAAAATTTGAAATATTTATATAATTCAAATTTGTAATCTTATTACCTAAAATTTTAAAGTCGAGGAATTTATATTTAATAATCATATTAAATAATATAATTAGCATTTGTTGTTTAAGTAATGAAATAAAACGTGAAGACAGCACATTTTCAACTTTGACAGCTTAAAAACAGAAGATTGATGATTACTACAAATGTGATAGTACGCTCATTCGAAAAGTCATTGTTTTATCTTTAATCATCATCTTTGATGATCTAATAATCATGTTCTGAATGAAGTAATTAAATAAAAGGTGCAGGCAATAAAACAAATTTAAAAATTATCATATCTTGGTTATTAATTAATATTACATAACAGCACTTATATCAGAGAATGCGCAATGGAAGAGAGTTATGGAAAAATAAAAAAAAACTTTTGGAATAGCGTTTTCAAAAATGCTAAATTTTTGTCAACATTTTGAATATTTATATAATTCAAATTTGAAATTTTATTACTTAAAATTTTAAAGTCGAAGTATTTGTATTTATTTATCGTATTAGATGATCTAATTAGCATTCGTTGTTCAAGTAATTAATTAAAACGTGAAGACAGCACATTTTCAACTTTGACAACTTAAAAATATAAGATTGATGATCACTACAAATCTGATAGTACGCTCATTCGAAAAGTCATTGTTTTATCTTTAATCATCATCTTTGATGATCTAATAATTATGTTCTAAATGAATTAATTAAATAAAACGTGTAGGCATTAAAACTAATTTAAAAATCATCATATCTTAGTTATGACAGTAACAGCACTTATATCAGAGGATGCGCAATGGAAAATATATTCAAAGTTTGAAAGTTATTATGGAAAAATAAACTATAGGATTAGCGTTTTAAAAAATGCTAAATTTGTTTCAACATTTTAAGTATTTATAAAATTCAAATGTGAAATCCTATTATAAAATAAATTAATTAGAAAATCGTTAAAGTTCTATAATTAATAATTATATTATATTGTCTTGGCATTCGTGGTTATCTAGTAAGTAAATAAAACTTGTAGTCAGCGAATTTTCAAGTTTTGACAGTTTATAACAGACGAACTACAAATCTGTCCAAAAATTAATTGGAAACGCCACAGTCTCATCTTTAATGTGCGTGTTTAATGTTCTAATGATGATGACGTTAAAACAATTAGAAAAATCCACATATGTCGGTCATTGATTAATACGACTATAAATAGTTATCAATGCAAATTTTAAATAATGTAAACATTTTCTTTTGAACGTACAAATATTGCCGCAAACTAAATGAAAGAGAAGTAGAAGTACAATGTTGTCAGTCGACATATTTCAATTTAAGTTAATGTTAAAATTAGGTATTATGTCTTATTTTCTAAAACTTCTTTTATTTTTGTTTTAAAACAAATTTCTATACGAAATAAAAACATGTTTTATGATACCAGGTAAAACGTACGTTCGTACGAACATATTGTACGTTAATGCGAACGAAAAAAACACATAACATCAAAAATCGTAAATTCATATAATAATTCATCTTCGGATTCACAAGAATGTTTTTTTAATGTGAATCTAAAAATTTCACTCTACCATAGTGGTAGAACGAAGTAGTTGATGGACAATAGTGCAATTTAGATATGCGGCATATAATTAATGATGCAGCTGACGTGGAACGAATGAATGCAACCGGGCCTCCTGCTTTATACTGGATAATAAATGGATGGATTACTCTCGGCGTTAGGGTTTTTACGTTGAACGAAATTTTAGACTCCCCCTTCGTATCTCGTGCCCTCGAATAACCCTAACCCCTCCGAGAACGGAATTTTTAAATCCCACCAATTCGCCACTCTAATCCAGTTGCAGAATCCAGCTGGAAATCCGTAGATCATTCATACAATGCGTAAATACTTTGTTGTTAATTAAATTTTTATTTTATACTGAAATGTGTTGTATTTTCAATAATCATTTGAATTAGGTCTATAAATGAAATAAACTACATTTTGTTGTAGCTGTTTCTTAAATTCTAATTGTAGCAATACCTCGCATATTGCGACTTCGACAGAGTGGTTTCATTATAGTACCGTTTGAATATCGAAAAAATAGTCTTAAAGTCCTCGATCAGTGCGGCTTCACACAGTGCGGAATATTGGCAAATACGATTACTTGCACTATGCCTCGTACTGTTACATTTACCATAGTTAAACAGAGAACAATAATAAAAAATAAGATTCATTATATACATACATTACATACTTTATTTACTATTTGAGATAAAGATTATCTACTCATTTTTAAGTCAAACGAATCTTTTCAGCTAATTTCTCTGTTTATAAATTATATATTTACAAATACAGTGGAACCTCGCTTAACGAGCACCTTGCATAACGAGCATTTCGCTTAACGAGCAAAATGAATTTAAGAAAAATGACGCATAACGAGGCGATGAGAAGAGAAGTCCCGGATTGCGCGCCTAGTACATCATTTTTAAACTTGCGTACACTAAAATTATATGTACATTTTTGAATTTGAGTAAAAATCTGGAAATTTTGGAACGGATTAAACTCGTTAAGATTGATTTTTTCATATTTTTAATATAAATTTAATTGTTATAAAACGCAAAATATTTTTATTTTTTTATAAAATTTATTAAATACACCATCGAGCACTTTCATTTCAATGTGGAAATAACGAATCAATTTTGAGTGGTTTGCATGCCGAAAATGTACATAAATATAATAGAATTTTGTCGATTAATCAAACAGCGAAGCCCATCTAACGAAACAATGATTAATTGTCATTTACCCTCATGGTTCATCATCGCAATCATAAAATCCATATAACTTGTACAATCCTGTTTCGTAATGTACATTTTTTTGCACGATTGCATAAACGTGTATCAAATACATTAACACTTCACAGCGATCTAAAATTCTAAATATTAATTGAATAAATCTGGAAGATTCTACAATTAATTTAGATGGCATGACAAGCGTATATACAAGAATTGTATATACAATAATTAGTATAAAATTTCCAGATGATCAAATTATATTTTCTTTGGAATTCAGCGTTTTCCAACCAATGTATATAGTATTTACTAAACAATTTGTTGAATTTTGATGATTGTTGTATTTTTAGGTCATTCAAACTTGTTTTTGGTCAATTATAAAAATTAACACATCACTTGTTTAACACATCATTGTTTGCTTTTTGTAAATCTTAATGTCTTAATGTATATTTCTAAATGATAAGTTTAATTTTATCAATCTTATTACAAAAATTTCTAAAAGTAAATAAAAATATTATACGTTAATTAAACTTTTCTAGTTAATTAATAAATTAGCTAAATGTTAATCATGAAATTATTACTATTGTTTTATCTTCTATCAAGATCACTTTTTGTAATTATTCGGAAAATGTATATTGTTCAAAGATGGAAACTAAATACAATACAATATTGTCTGTCGCCGATTAAGCATTCACATTTGACTTATATTTTGTTAAAATTAGATCTTATTTTCTTTTTGTTTTAAAAATCGATTTATATATGACTGAAATAAAATTTAAATAGATATATGTAGATTCATCGATTTATACGGTATTTAAATGAAAAAAAAAAAACATTTTATAGTGAACATATCCTCAACTTTTGCTTTATCTTATTTAGATAGATTTACAGACTAATTGAAGATATCCTTCTATTTTGTATGAAATCTGTGTTTTGTTTCACACTGTTTCGTTTTGTACGAACGTATCTACCGTATAAATCCAGGGATGAGTGTATCGAGATGCCAGGAATCGGTAAAATGTACGTTACTGCGAACGAACTTTTTGGAATACATCAATAAATCGTATTTAAGTTTTCTTCTTAAATTACCGGTAATATTTTCAGTAAACCGGTTTTTATTAATATTCACCTTTCATAAAGGAGATAGAAAAAACAGAGGCATTCATTAACTATTGATCAAAAATTTAATATTTTACTTGAAACGAGATTACGAGAAGCTTACGTCGCCTCATTTTGTTCCAAAACAGAAAAATAAGATAGCAATCTCGGTTAGATTAGGTTAGATTAAAGGAGAGAAAGCGCGGAACAAGTGCGCGAAGACAGGACCCGGAAATTAACAATTTGCTATCTGCAGAGCAATTGGTTAATTTCCGGGTCCTGCAAGTCTGGTTGAGAGGGATGTAGTTTTACTGTCGTAAGAATCGCACAGTACCATGGTTCCGTTCCAGCCGTGGTCCCTTAGGTTAGAAAGCCCGCGGCTTCTGCAGCCATAAGCAGGATGATGCCGAACATGGAAGGGCCAAAGCAACGAAAGAAGAGACTGCTGGGTAGTTGCACCTTGCGGCCTTGGAAAGAGTGCAAAGAAAGGGAGCAATCAGAGCATGTTGTGCTTACGCAACGATATCCCTGGATGCAGTGCAGGAACCCCTTCCATCGAACTACTGACCAGAGAGACTGGAACTCTACGAAGGCAGTAGTGATAAAGAAGCCAGAAAGTCCGCACGAACGCGAACAATGACAAGGTGGCAGGAAAAGTGGCAGAGAGGCACAAAGGGCGCATGGACTAGAATGCTGATTCCAAACATCGCGCAGTGGATGGGTCAAAAGCACGGAGAGGTCGCAGGATCTCTCAGGACACGGATGCTTCGGAAAATAACTCCACTTGATAGCAAGGAAAGGGGTGCTGGTACTGCCAGGAGGACAACCCCAAACCACACTCTCTTCAGATAATGCCGCTGAGCCCCTCGAGCCGAAGAACCTAGTCAGCATAATGCTGGAAAGCCAGGAGAGATGTAACGTGGTGGCTGGTTTCATTACGGCCGTCCTCAAGAACAAGGAAGCTGACGAAAGATAGATGCAGAGGGAAGAAAATTGAGTTCCAGAAGACCGAAGCGCTCGAGTGAACTCAGAGAGTGAATGACCACAATGCTCGAGTGTGAAAACGAAAATGAGACAAAGCGCGGAACAAGTGCGCCAAACTCTTGCAGATAGCAATTAGTTCGTTTCCGGGTCCTGCAAGACTGACTGAGAGGGGAGTGGAAGGTTTCCACTCCTCCAAAAAAAAAAAGGTTACGTGGTTTCAACAATGTTCTAAAACATTTTTGATAAGTGATGGGTTGGTGAACAACTTCAAAAAATAAGACCTGACATTCGCTTATTAACTATATGCGATAAAAAATTTTCTTAGAAAAATTTAAAGAGATAATTAATGAAAATTAATATGGAATGAATCGAATCTATAATTGTGACGAAACAAGACTAGTGTACAAAATATTGACAAATAAAGCTAATACTCATCAACAGTTTTTTAAATTTTATTTTCTTCCAAATTAATTTAATTGATAGTATTTAAACATTGAAATAAAATTTCATGTAAAAAATTCTTGAAGCTCTTTTATCTTCTATGCATTACTGTAATAATAATAAAACTATAATACTTACTGAAATGATCCTAGAAAAGGAGAATAGTGGAGGTAATAATAATATAAAAAGAAAAGACAGGTATTTTTTTTGTTTTTCGTTTTAGTGTAACTTTTTTTTTCTTCATATCAGAGTATACTAGAATGACAATGTATTATTACACAGACTGACCATATGGTAAATAAAATACATGAAAAAAGTTTACATATATATACACAGTGTAAGTAAAAGTGAGATCTGTTGGAAAAAAAATATATCGTATCGTATATATTAATAATTATAAAATAAAAAAAAAGAATAAAATAAGAATATTAATACAAAATAATAATTGTATATCATAAAATAAGAATGACAGAAACATATGTGGAATACAAAGAAAAAAAAACGATATTAGCATACACATTACACTCGCACACACACGTAAACGCACGCAAAATTTTCTTTTTGAAGTGACATAATCAAATCAAATTGAACTAAAGAAAAGAACGTGTGAACTGCATTTGTTTTCCATCTTCATTCATATTTTAAACATAATTTTTTCGAAGACCAAAGAAAACAAAAGAACGCGTCATCATTGGTCCACCGTCTTAATTAAAAACAAAAAAATACGAAACGAAAATTAAACAAAAGAGACTATGTACAGAACCGCTTCGTAAGATTATGTAAAAAAAGTAAATTAATTAATTAATTAAAAAAAAAATAAGAACAAATGACGTGAGTGGAAAAGAAAACAGAGAATTATTGAGACGTAATATAGAAAATAGGCGGGCGATGAAATAACAAAATGTGAACATTTTTTTACGTTTTAAAGGAAATCATAGTAAGCGTGCAGCACAATTTACCTAATAAAAAAATATATATCGTTTATATAATATTATTCATTTCTTTACATATTTTAAGAATTAGTTTTTTTGTGGAGAAAATTTCTCGTTTTCTTCATTCAATCAATCAATGTTTCCTTCTTCCAGTGTTTTCAAATAAATTCCACGTGTCGTAATATATAATATATATATATATACCATTTTTTGTTTTGTTTTTTTTACAGTCTATAAACTCCATTGCACAGCTAAATTTTTCTTTATAAACATCATCATTATTAATTCTTGTTAATTCTTATACAATCACACACTGAATTATTTAAATACACTAGAATATATTTATAATTTTTTTCTCTCAACGTCATTTCTCTTCTCTCTCTAACTATTGGCGCGAATCCCTTTGTTTTTTTCTCATTTTTTTTTAAAACCTTTACTCTCCACTTTCGTATCGATCATCATTACACTAAAAATATACACATAGATTTTGGACACTTACGGTTTTACAATAATATACAGTCTTTATCCTTATATTTATAATTTATAATATTATCAATATATAGAACTTAAGACAGCTTAACTCTAACGAAAACGTGGGTCATGCACGTGCTTGATCATCTCCAACAACATGTTTTTTTTTTACTTCTTCCTCTCTCATTCGTTTTATCACAATTATATCTATATATATATTATTTTATACAAATTATGTTGGTACTCTAAATAATAGTTAACTTAACTTAAGACACTAAGTTACATAAGTCGTTTGTTAATCCCGTTATCAATAAACAAATTCAGTTAAGCTGCCATAAATGACTACAGGTTTTTTTTTGTCTTTTGTTTACTATAACAACGATTCACGAACGACAACGGAAAAAACGAAAGGAAAAAAACTGAACATAAATATCTACAAACTAATCAAAGGCAGTGTGTTTACGAACGTCTTCGTACATCATCCAATCATCTCCTTTTATTGTTAAATCCTATTTTTTTCTGTTGCTCGAAATTTGATAATAAACGTTTATACAATAACGGTGATCATTTTACAATAATTAATATTTTTTTTGCCAAAAATTTTTTTTCCTTCCCTTTTTCACAGCTAGCGCAGATCTCTACTTTAATTTAATTTAAAATCTCCCGACTAAATTAATCCCGGATAAACAGCACTCGACGTTCCGTTACGTAATTTGAATACGTTTTTTTTTTAAATGTTATTTCTTTTAATTATAAAGCGCAGCGCAAGATTGTCCACAAGTGTTTTAAATTTGCATTGCATAAGAATCCCTGAATGAAAAAATATTTGGTGTACTTCTCCTGTTGCAAACTGATCCTCCTCTCCTTCATCCTTCCATCCACCACTCGAGACACTTTCGGTACAGTTTTGGTTGATTCGCCTGACATTTTCAAGCATTTTTAATACATATCTATATGTTCATAGAGAGCTGATTATTAAAGAAATTGTAAATATATATAAATAATTATATATATTTGTAAAAAATGGTAGTAAAAATTGTCTTGTCTTGTCTGCTATATTTTTGTTTATGCTTATCTACGTAGTCCTAGTGACCAGGGTCAGTCCCATTGGTGAGGCGACGGTTGGAGTTCCGACGGATGTGCCACTGACGAACTAAAATAGTAGAAACAAAGAGAAAAGAACGATGTGAAAATATACAGTTTGTAACGGTTTATAACTAAAGAGATACCTAAAACTATTATCTTAAGATTAAGTGTGTATTGTTTTTATACAGTGGTTGACGTGTTTTTTGAAGGGTGGGGTCGAGGGTTCCTAGTTTGTTTGTTTTATTTCTGTTAGTTTTGTTCATATTTCTAAACAATCAACGGCAAAATAAACTTGTGGAGCTGGAAAAAAATTTTGAAAAATCGATCACTATTATTAGTCCACGAAGTGTTTTCGAGCATTTGCAAATCGCAGCACGTGCAAAGTTGTTGCGGTGGATGCGCCGGGGTTTCTACTCAACTGTCAATTGCAAATGTTCAAATCATTCCGTATTTATAACAAGTTTCAACTGTCACATTGAGGTAACAATAACTTTTTTTTTATTCACATCTTTCATATTCGTTATTCGTTCTTATTATATTTTAAGAATTTCCAACTTTCTAAACAATTTGTAACAATTTCATGATTATAAAAAAAGTACTTATCATTTGTTACAACAAATCAATTGTTTCATATTTTCGAAAAATCAATTCGCATTTAAATTGTCAAAATTTTACACTAAATATTAATATTATTCAAATTTAATTTAATATTACTAAAGATCAAAGTATGTTTTGAATAATTCAATTTGAATTTATTTTGTTTTCAGAGAAATTAAATAAAAAAAATTAATATATGAAATTATTTTTGCAAATTTATAATTTAATTTAAAACCTGTTTGTATCTTCAATTTCTTCATTTAGACGAATTGATATCATGAACTTTTTTTTTCATTATCAATACGTCGCATAGTGCGGCTTCAAACAGTACGAATTAACTATAGTACGATTTGAAAATTTCAAAACGAACTAAATTTTCATTGAGCAAAATATTTGTGTGCAATTTTAAAGTCTTCGATTAGTCCGGTTTTAAACATTGAAACAAATGAATCAATTTTAATTTATATTGTTTTCAGAGAAATTAAGTAAAAAAAATTGAATTGAATTTTTTTTTGTAAATTTATAATTTAATTTAAAACCTGTTTATATCTTCAATATTTTCATTCAAAAGAATTGATTTCATGAACATTTTTCATTTGAAATGACATAAAAGAAATATTCAGTAATACCACGCATTGTCCGGATTCATATAATTAAGCAAAATATTTGTATGCAGTATAAAAGTCCTCGAATAGTCCGGTTTCTAATATTAGGATAAATTATCCGTAGAATGCGAGGTATTCCTACGTATTTGTGCTTGCAATATACAAATAATTTAAGAAATATATGTAAATCTAATCAATTATTTACAAGTTAGACTTTAATTTCTGTTTGTAGCAAAAAAAATGTTTCAACATTTACGAAACAAACAAAAAAACACAATTTTTATTTGACTATGAAATAAGATAAACACGTTCAATATGCTTAGTACGTGTTTAATATGTTGTTTAGGAAACTTTGTTTGAAAAACAAGGTTAATTAAAATATATTTGAAACTAAGTAATTATGTAAAAAAAAAATCTTAAATATGAAACGAATTAATTTGTTTATTTTTTAATCAATTTCCTTGATTCATATTTCCTTTAATTAATTTCAATGAATATATAGAAGTTATGAAACTTTTATACTTAATTTTTTTGAATACAAAATTTCATTTTTTTTACTATATAATAATAAAATATTGAGGAAAATTGAAACGCATGGACATGAATGCAAACACGCAGATTGTAGTCACATGTTGCGCAGCGCCACGTGCTTCAATCGAAAGTTCTTATTAAATCATATTTAAACATGATTATCGATTAGTGAAGTTACGAATAAGAAAATTAAATTACAAACATTTTGTATGAAAACACATGTTGCAATAACACAAACTAATTGAAGTTTACTATAAATTAAGTCAATATACAAATATGAAAAAAATTCAATTAAAAAGTGTTTAAAAACGAATTAATTACAGTTTTTCTTTTACAAATTCTAAAATAATTTCATAATTAATTTTGTTGTCTTGCTAAAAAGTAATGAAACATTTAATATTATTTGAAATTTATTGATTTTTCACAAATATTGTTTGTTGTGTTTAATACAAACGTTTATTGCAGAATCATGTAAAACTCATCTATTACGTGCTTTATTTTATTTACCCAAAAGTTTTATGTAAAATCAGTATTAAAACATTGAATCACAAATACGAATAACCAAAAAAAACTAACTTCATGATTAAGTTTCTGATTAAATTTATGTGACAAAAGAACATACAATACAATAACTTGTAAACGTACACAATAACTTGGAGTATTAATAGAAAAAAATATTAGATATCTTTGGAAAAAAAATATATACAAATAGTTTACAAATTGATTCGTTTCGTTTTCCAATTAATTAGGTATAATTAAATTCCTGATTAAGTTAGTTTTTTTTTACATTTTAATCGAATCGGAACGAAAAAAAAAACTATATGTATATACAAATGAATGACATGGGGACAAATGGGGAGTAATTAGTAAAGCTTGAATGAAAAAAATTGAAAAAATAAATTACACACAACACTATCTACCAAAGAAAAAAACAATACAAAAATTTAATTGTTAGTATAAAACTTAATTAAAACTATCTCGCCATGGATTTTCTGTTTTTTTTAGTGTTTGAATCGAGTGAAAAAAAATATATTTTTCATCTCAAAATGATTTTTTTTTTGCTTTTAATTATTCATGTACGTATGGACTATGTAGAAAAAGAGAAATAAATGGCACTAACCTAAAAAAACAAAGCGGGCAGAGTAGTGTCACAGTCACGCAGCGCATAGAAAGATGACGGGTGATAGTAAAATTTCTAGTGTCTTCTTGAAAGGTGCGCAAACTTTGTCTTTCCTGCACAAGCATATTAACACACATCATCTTACTTGAGCCCGTCTCTTACTCTTACAATTATTTCGACAAAGAAACAACAAATAAAGAAAAAAGAAACACGACCAAAATATCAAATGAAAATAATAATTAGAGAGAACAAAGAACAAAAAATAGAAAGAATGATGAATCTCGCTTAGATTATAGGATGAATTAAAGCCGTGACATCGTTTTATCAATACGAACAGATGCTCAAGCGAGATTTCCAAACATCCTCATTCCTTTTTTGTTCTTAGAGGAAATCATAAATTTGAAAAAAAAAAAAACAAAATACATGTACGTGTGTGTTATTGATTAGTTTTCCTTTCCAAAATAAAAGATGGAAGAGTAGAAAGTAATAAAATAAGAAAAAGAGAAGAGCAAAAGAGAAGGGTATGCACACACAAAAAAAAATGTTAATACAAACTATATACATTAAAAAAAATAAATATACGTAATATGGTGATGATGATTAATGATTGTTTACTGATCTCCATGCAATTGGCATTTGTTTTCGAAATTCTACAGCATAAAAAACTACTATTAATTTGTTCGGAGAAATATTTAATAGGTTACTAATTGTTAAGAAAATTTGTAAAAAAAAATATAATAAGAATCTAAGGCTACTTTATCGAAATGAAGGATGAAAGTATTGTAGAATAAAAAAAATAACAAAAACTACTAAAAACAAATAATGTAAATCAAATAATATAGATTAAGACTAAAAAAAAAATCAGTCGCTCGCGCCAGCATGGAAATCAATTTGAACTTTTTTTGTTTTAAATAATAATTTTGATGTAAAGGTGAACAGATTTGCCTTTAATATACATAAGCACATTTAGAATTACTTTAGCTAGAGCTTGATAATTTTAAAAAGCTATAATAAAATCAAAATTTCAATGATCCTAGGATTGTTAAATTTTGCATTTTGATGTAACGCGTCTAGATATTTTGTCTAATTGCCCTTTAATGGATAAATGATTTTTTTTTAAACTTTTTTCAAAACGAATCCAGTTTAAAGTTGATCACTTGTCCATTTAGCTTCTGTTCAACCTTCACGATCATCTACGAGTGAAATATAATACGTAGTAATAAAAAAAAATTAATAATAAACGAAATTATAAAACATCGAGAGAAAAAAAGTAAAAATCAAAAAAACACTTCGACAATTTGGTGTACGTGTGGTAATATATAATAATAAAAATATGTTATCTAATTATTTTTTTTTGAACGGAAAGTCTGAGAGATCGCGATCTTCATCATCAAAAGAAATGAACGTCGATGGAGGAAAAACAATAACCTTAGTTTTTGTCAATTGCAAGATCACTGCAATCGGAGAATGATAAATTTGAACAAAAAAAACATGCGAAATCAAAAGCAAGAAGTGTATTTTTGATTCACCAAAAGATTTTTTAGTCTTTTTTCGTTTTTGAGAAAATTTACAGAAAAAAAAATAATTATAATATGCAGAGAGCAAAAAGTAAAAGATTGATCACATGATTAATAAATAGTATTAATATATACATACAAGAGCTGTGGTTGTGTATGCAAATGGCCTATATTATATACAGGGTGTCCTCGCTAAATTTGGTAATGACAAAGCTGAAGATGGATTTTGCTTCTTGGGAAGGTGAATCACTAAAGGCGATTTACTGCTAGTGTTAATTAATTTAAATGTCTTAATAAGGAGGATCCAGAATGTATTTATTGCAACCTTAACGCGAGGTTGGAAATTGGTTAACCTTTAATTGATTTACTTGTAGATTGTGCAAAGGAAACAAAAACAAGCGTTAGCGTTAGAAAAGCAAATAAATAATCAATTATAATGTAGTAGTAAACCACGACCATGGAGAAGAGAGCACGCAGAGAGATGATGTTGATTGAATGGTGTCGAAGATGAGATGAGAGACTAAACAAATTTTGTGTTTGTTTTGGTTTTGTTGGGTCGAAAGGTTTCACGGAAACTCCAGTGGTGACTCACCTTGGAGTGAAGTTACAAAGTGTCAAAGGAGCCTCCCGGGCCGACACTTTTTGTTTATGTGTGTGTGTGTGTTTGTGCTTATGACGACGACCTCCGCGCTATACAGAATATGTATGAGATTGCATTTATATGTATATGATGTAAAGCGGATGAAGAGACTTAATGCAGAGAAAGAAGAGGGTTGGTAATCAACAGCAACAAAAAATTAAATTAAAATTATAGAGAATTAAAATAATTAAATGTAGGATTATATATATATAGAGAGAGAGGTGGTAAAAGTAATAATAATAAAGATTAATTAAGACGTACACCAAAACGTCAAAGTGCATTTGTCACCTATGCAATGGCGCTGCGCTGCTCGTAGAATGTCGGCTGCCGTCTTACCTGGCGAAACTCTTGAATGCAGCTGACTGCGGATTTATACAAAGTGGCACTCTACTCGTGTTCAATTGCTCCGCAATGAATTTGTGCATCTCCTCTGCAAAAATAAACAAAAAAATCAAAATAGTAAAAAAGAAGATGTTAGATTACAACAAAGAGTTTTGCGAATTATTTTCTGTTCGGACAATATACACATTTAATTTTTTGATGGGTCCCGAATGACATCTGTCACCTTGTGTCAAAGCGAAGAACTGGTGAAATACTCTTAGCAATTTGGCCGACGTACAACTACAAACAAATATTGCTTTGGGTCGCACGGCGAAAAGATTAAGAAACGCTGCTATAGATGATCTGGTATTTGAATGGATTATTTTCGTTAACAGATTATGCATTGTAGCTTCTAATGATACGTACAAACTACACTTCATATGTAGTAATATCAGATAAAGTGTGTACGCAACTTTTTATTATATTTTTTTTAAAGAAAATTAAAGAGAATAATTCTTAATTTCTCTTCTGCGCCCATTATATTGATTTATTTTTTTCTAAAATGTTATTTTTGTCCTTTATTGACATAGTATATAGAACTTTTCATCTCAGAATTGCAATAATAGTCGTGTCTATTTATTGTTTTTTTTTTGATAATTCACAAATTCTGTTTCATGATGAAATTAGTTTTTTATAATAAATAAATTTTGTAAAATAAATCTTTTGACGCTCATAAAATAAATTATTTTCCATAGAAATCTGCGGTACAATATATCCAAAATTATAACATCATCATCTAATCTTGTTACAAAAAAAATGTGGTTGTGTAATGGAATGACATATGTACTTTATATTGAATGTATTGCTGTTAATGATTTTTCATGATACAAGAGTGTCATCTGAACTCTGCGGATGTAGGCGATGCGGTGTGCATATGTATATAAAATGCATGATTTCAATATGCAGAAATTACGTTTACGATGAATTCGGTAGCAATGAACCCCTTAAGTGGATTCAGCAATAAGAATGAATTTGTGAAATATGGTCAGTGTGTAATGGACGGATATTTATTTCAAATTGAAAGAGCGGTTGTAGGGTGTATAAAACTGCGATCGATCGTAGCGTATCAAATGATTCATGGGTTTTTGGGTGTGTGAATTGACTTACCTTTCACCTGGCGCACGGACGTCAGCTTCCGTTCCCAGCGGTCATCGAAGGGTTGAGGAGCGGTAGTCTCGAACTCGGTCGTGTACTGCCTCATTCCGCTGTTCGTTGTGTAACAACATTTGCACATGCAGGAATGGTACCTGAGTCGACCCTCATCCAGGTAAGGATGAGCGAGCGCTTCGACGACGGTCATCCTCTTGTCGGGATCGAAGACGAGCATCTGGCATAGGAGATGGACGACTTCCGGTGTCGCCTGATTCGAGAGGGTGTACAAGGCAGTAAGGGATGAAGGCTTCTGGGCCCTGTTGAGCATGTGGGTTTTGGCACCTTCGCACGCGTACCTCATATCCGTCAGCGACGGCGTTCCCAGCAGCTCGGTGATCAGCTCTAACTGCTGGATGGGATTCTGGGCCTGGAACAGGATCCTTCGACCCAGAAGCTCACCGAAAATACAGCCCACCGACCATACGTCCACGGCGGCAGTGTAGTGGCGAGCGCCCATGAGGATCTCCGGGGCTCTGTAGTACTGAGTCACGACCTCTTGGGTCATGTGCTTCGAGGAGTCGGGTTCCTCGACGCGCGCTAATCCGAAATCACAAATCTAGAAGCAAGAGCCGTTAGCAAACACGAACATCTAAACAAAGAGAGTAGTGATGATACCTTAAGAACACAATTACTATTGACAAGGAGGTTTCCTGGTTTTATGTCTCTATGCAATATCCTGGCAGAATGTATATATTTCAGTCCTGAAAGAAGTACAATCGTATAGCGAAATCGAATAACGCAATCCATCGTCAAAAGAACAAACCTCTGAGAATTTGGTACATGAATACTTTGATGTGGTCCGAAGAAAGTGGCTGATGGGAAACGATGATCTTGTGAAGATCGCTCTGCAAGAGTTCTGTTATAACGTATCTGAAAGGTGGATGTTAAGGAAAATTCTGGTAAGAGCTCGGAGGAGCGAGACGACGTGGTTTTTACTTCATTTTATTTATCATTTGCTTCTTCTTTTCGGATTTGAAAGAGAGAAAAAATGCTGAGAGCGGCGCGCCGTGGGAAACAGGTAGCGCGAGACGATCCCGTCTCTCGTCGACCAAGGCCAGAGATCTCTCGCCTCTTCTGATACTTCTTGGACCAGAGAGTAGTGGTGTCTCTCCTCAGGTACACGCAGAAGAAGAAAGATACTCTTCTCTCGGCGATGAGGGAAAGAGGCTAACAGAACAATACCTGTGCGCGCTCGAAGGTTTTTGCCCTCCCATCAAAACCATTATTGATTGCACCACCTTACAAAGAGAGGTGGTAGGTATAAACAGAATTCTCAACTAGACCAGTTCTTCATTATTTTTTTTTAATTTCGGAAACGGATCTTAAGAACGCAACGCGAGAGGATCCAGATTTAAAAAAAATGAGTTTATTTCCATTACTTGCGCCGTGCGTGCGCGCTCAGACTTTCTCCTTTTCAAGACTGTTGTGGGAAAATCGTGTAACCCAAATAATTTCGCAACGAATTCAAATGCACGATCGAAAAGAAAAATTAGTTTTGAGAAAATTGTAGCGGTTAGTTAGATTTGCATCGATTTCGTACCGAATTGGAAAAGTGCAAAGCTCGTTTTCAATAGTGTGCATAGCTTTGGCACAGCTGTGTTTCGCACAACGTCCACCCACACGCATATACGAGTTCCTAAGGACACGAGAAAGTACATGTTTCGACAGCAATGCGGCGAAACAAAAACGAAAATAAGAAAAGAAAAAAAAAAGGACGAAACGTAATGAAAGGGAATACCTTCAACCTCAATCCGCATGTAAAATTCACTCATTCCGCAGCCTTAGGTACTATATACTAATGCATACCGAGAGAGACTTATCGATTTTACGTTTAAAAATATCCGAGGCTTATTTTCGTCCTTTCCAGACTACAACTCGTACATTATGTATGATTTCTCGGCACGCACAGAAAAATATAATAATAAAATAACAATTTGATTTGTCTGGAAAACGTAGTCCAAATTATGAAATCTGCATAGACCAAAGCAAATTTCATAACCGGACTGTACCACGATGATACATGCAGATGTTCCAATATATATATAGCATAGGTACATAATGCGTCCATCCAAATGGACGTCGAGTGGAACATTGATAGTACACACGGACGGCGTGTAATAACTCAAACTGCCGCTCCATTCCCGATCTAATTTATGTATCTTCGCTTAATGCAGCTAATTACTAATTAAGTTCAAACGGAAATATACGGGACGGCCACTTAATTGACATTCAGCGAGAAAGGGGGGTGGAGTGGGGGTTGTTTTATCAACTGGCTCCACCCTCTCATCATATTACAGCGAGTCTCTCTTCTGCGCTTCATTAAAATCGCGCGACGCACAACGATGCAATCAGCATCCCGAAACGACGTATATCGAAGCGAATTACCGCTTCACGGCCCCTTGACCTCTCCGCGCTGAGCTCGCTGAATTCTCGTAATCTAAATTACACAGTCTCTGACACCCCTTCTCTCCCTCCCATTTCCCCAACAAAACCAAATCTAATTAACCTTGTAATAATCAAACAACGTATAACTAACCAAGATGACAACTTAAATTTGCATCGGTTTACATAACATATTCAGTGAGCAAGAGTTTACTATTCAAATACACGAGCTAATTGCTTTCAAATCTACACCGAGGTTAATTTCAAATTGTCTCAAAAGATCAATATGACAAAAACGAAAATTGCACATTTTCCTTGAAACATAATTCAACATTTACGATTGGAAAAAATTACTACGTGTGTCGGATTTCAATGAACCAAATTCATTAATATATTGCAATACACATTTATAATCAATATTAACTGTTGTACAAACCGCTTACATAACTAATTACTAATTGAATTTTTTAAAGGAAAACTGTTAATATTTAAATATCAGCATGTAACTAAAAAATAATGATATGCCTCGTGCACCAATAACGTAAATTCTTCGAAATGACAGAGATAACGTGCGAGTATTTAAGTAAAAAATCGGAATATTCACCCTAATACCACCGAATTGAATTATTTGATTACGAAATTACGTAAACCATTCATCTGCTTACAAAAATAATTATTAAACGGAAAGATAAGACTAATCAGATAAGACAGAAATATATAGTAGAAATCGTAGTAATTTTGGATTGATAATTGCCAATACAAAAATATACCTAATATAACTTGCAAGAAACAATTTAATATTGATTGTCATTTCATCATTGTCATCTTTGTCTGCATTTTTTTTTTGTTAATTGTATAATTATTACTAAAATTATTGTCTAATTTCGTAACTAAAATGATTGGAAAAAGTTAACTTAATCAGATTACAAATTGAAATTTTTCGGATTATATCTTTACATTTAATTAAATATCAAATTACGTGTATGATTTTGTTCTATTCATTGCTTTTGTAATCTATAAAAGTGTTAAAAAAAATAATCATTATAATTAGATTAGTCAAATTTTAAAAAAATCTGTAATTTTTCGATTATTAAATTGTTTGTATGACGTTGAACGACGATAGTGGAACGACGTAAAGCGAATCAAAAAAAAAATATAACACATTTGTATAAATTGAAAACGTGCCTAGTTGGAGTTGGCTTATCAAGTGAATAGATAACAGAAAAAAATGCGTGGTGAGCAGAAATGCAGTTATGATAATCGACGTATAACGAAACCAATCATGTTTTCTTTCATGTCATGCACGGCCTTGCATTAGGTGAGAACGTATCATCGGAAACAGCGACGGCATAATTCATCGATGATTTCATCGACGAAGACATTGTTCGTATTTTGACAGCGCGCTTTCAGAAGAGGAAGACACAAATCTTCCTCCACTTTCGAATAACACAATAAATAAAAATATGCAAAAACAATTTCGCCATGGAAGGCAGGATCGTATTTAGCGCATGACCCATATTGTTGCGAATTCGCTTATTATTATTTTATTTTTTTATTTATTTCTGGTCGCTTCGGTTGCAAAATTCCCCGCCAACCTTGCTGCCTGCCCGCGCTCGACGGCTCATTAAAATTATAAATAAAAGAAGGAAAACCAAATCGCTTGCATAATGGAATACGAATCCAATTATAAAAAAGCGCGCGCGCCCTAAAACGAGTTAGATAAAGAGAGAAAAAGAGATACGGCGAAATCCGATCCAGGTACGGACCGCACACATGTTAATACGTTCATATATATAAAAAAGGATACATTTCTTGGAAGAAGTCTAAGTGCGGAGGTTGCAGAATATCCAAGGCTGATAACACCTGAAACAGAACACGCAAGATAGTAAACGACACAGTACAAATGCAAATATAGAAAGAAAAGAATCGTCGGAATCCGGTGGTTCTATCTAATGCGAAAATAATTGCTACTTGGTCGGACTTTGGGGTATTGTGGTAATACACATAGGTTTCCGACAAATTTCTGGCGACCTTTTGCACAACAAACGACCGCCGCCCGCATTCATTGTTCGCGGCGGCTATTTGAATAATTGAACAATGAACGTGTTTCTACTCTTTTTTTATCTGGATGTGGTGTCCAACCAAATTCGTTTTATCCCGATGTTTTATTAGTGTACGTACATAAATTGTTGTACGCTGAGCAAATGTACGTTAATCGAACGGTAAATTCCAATAAATACATGTATTTACTAGTTTTCTTAGCACGCGCGTTAATTAGTTCGCATGAACGTACTCGATATTTACACTAACGTACAGATATTATTTACTGAGAATTCCCGCTACAATTTTATTTCAATCGGACTTGAATAGACATGACATCATAAATAATAGTGTACGTATTATCGAACAGGTGTACGTTAAGTGAACTTTATAGCAAATTCTATTTTCATTGTATTGAACAATTGAATTGTACAAGTACGTATTGTGGAACGTACATTAAACGAATGTACGTTAAATAAACGATGTCTCCTATACTTCTATAGCAAATTCAATATTTTTTTTTACTACTTACATTTTCGTGCTTGAAGAAGCACAGCATTTTCAGTTCCCTGAATACTCTTTTGGAGGACACCAAGGATTGGAACACATTCGGCAACTTCTTGAGGGCGACGCGACGTCCATCACGTGGATCCGTTACAGCCCTGTAACAAACAAACAAAAGAACAATGAAAAAACGATAATCTCCCAAGATCATTACAAAGACTACATTCGAACATCTACGCGAATCTCAATTAAAAATAATGCCGTTTCGATATAATTGTAAATTCATTTATATAATTTAACTTTTATAATTAGAGACAATTTGATATTATAAATTTTACGACTTGTCCAAAAAACTGTCACATATTATCAGGCTATAAATTGCATTGAAATATATCAAATATTGAATATAATGATATTCATGTCTTATCCTTGAATTAATTTAATAAATTGATATAATGCACTATTTATATTATTTTACAATTCTGAACATATAGAAAATTTCAAGTAAACATATAATTTATTTGCTATACATCAGAATATTCCCATAAATATTAGCTTATTAATAAGATCCACTTACAAATAGTTTCAATTATAAACAAACAAGAAGTGAGTCTATTATTCATTATCAAAATTAACGAATTAACAATTTTGTTATCTATTAGAACGCTTCGATTCGTAGAAGGATGAAAGCAATTCGTATTAGGAACGGCCACTTGAAGCACTCATAAACAGATAGGATTTAATCCAAGAAAAAAAAGTAGTTCACAGTTTCTGATAAAGCAGTTAAAAGTAGATCATCTAATGTTGTCAAGTATGTGAGTCATTTAGCTTTGTTTATTTTATTTTTTTTTATCTAAATTTGAAGAAAATATTCTGAACATGAACTTTTTGAAAGCTTCGAAATTTGAAGAAATTACAAAATATATTTGATGAACTTTGCAAAAATTAGTCGCAAAAATGTTATTAGTTACTGGTTGTATATAACTATCATACTTATCATAATTATGAATAGTAATTGAGGATCTATAGAATGGTTATAAAATGTATGATAAATACATAAATACCAAAATGGTTTGGAAAAGCTATGAATATTTAATTAATGACATATTTGCTATAAAAAACGTTGGTAACAATCGTTTCTATTTCTGTCTTTCAAAGCAATGAAAAATCGAGGCCAAATTACAATCATATTTTTGAATACAGCAGACAAGATATACAAATCACCATTAATGTTGTGGATGTTTTGAATTGAAGGCACTGTTAAAAACATGTAGAAAGAGGTCTTCTCGATGGACGTGAAGCAACCTTTACAATGAAAAAGTCTACTACCAAATTTTTGAATAACCAAAGACAGACAAATGAGTAGTTTTGTAAGCTGATTTCCAAACAGCATCCCATTAGATTAGAAAGAGTCTCTTTTCGTCTGAGCAGCAGCAGCATTGTGTTTCCCTTGTGCTCTTGCTGCTCTGCAAGGTTACCAAACGACGTTAAAATGTGAATCGTTTACTTTACAAACGTTGTACACGCTCATACTTGACAGGCTTGAAGGTACTGGAGGTCAGTTGCTTTGCGTACGTATAAATAGACCTTAACATTATAAGACCGATAGCATCGAGGAAATAAAAAAAAAGTATGAGAAGAGTGGTCGATGGTCGAATGGGAATTGGATAAAAGGGCCTTGCAGGGATGGAAATCTAAAGGAAGTCCCTGAATCCTAGAGGTCGCGCCACAACAACGCGTTGAACTCATTGAAATTGTTAGTGTATGGGGAAATGTATATATATATACACACACTACACAAAGTCTGAATGCTCAATAGACGCGGCGCTTTTCCCGAATTATTTTTAGGTAACCCCGTGGAAAGGGGGCCCCCCCTCGATAGAAGGGGGGTCTATACTACTCGGGCAGCCGTCACAGGATGTTGAACTTGGTAATTGTCCAAGGCGGAGCCGCTGCTTCGCTTATAACACAAGGTAGGTTCAAGGCCGTTTTTACACTTCTTTGTTCTGTTCCCGTGTGGATGAACGTAGATGTGTATTTGCTCCAAACTCCGGACGAGGAGGAAAAACCTTAGAAATACGTACATATTATCATTATCATTGTTTTATTTTCTTTTTTTTCCACAGCGGCGGACTTCGAGCAGAGCAACCGTTTCTCACGTACTTCTATTTCGTATCATGATGCATTTCACACTTCCGGCGTATATCGAATCCTCGAATTACACACTGAATACTCATCATTCTTTTGTTCTCCATCATCATTACACGCGAGCTTCATTGTCTTTAACAAGGCAACTTATTTGGAAACTTATCGTAAACAACAACAAAAAAAAAACATAATCTCAACACAATTCAAACAATCATTGTATGATTGTTACTTTATCATTTAAAGATACGCACTAATAAAATCAAATGATTCATAATTTCAAAAAGTATGTCTGTAATGCCCAATTTATTTATTTTTTTCAATTATCATTATTTCATTAAAGTAAGAACTAATATATTTTTATTTGTATCATTTGTAAATCCGCACTAACAAAATAAAACCTACTATAATTTATAACTTCAAAAAGTATGTCTGTAATTCTAAATGTTTATCTATTCAACAAAAAAAAACTCATTAATTAATTTTCTTTGTGAACATGAACTAATATCAATTGGTTTGCATTGTCCTATTTTACAGATTTATAAATTAGTACGAAAATTATTTACATTAATAATGCAACAATTAGTGAATAAACCATTGTATGTATTGCACAGATATGCAATAAAGATTATATTAATATCTCGAGAAACGCAATTTGTATGTTTGCAAATATTTAAATATATAATTATTAAAATATAATACAAATTAATAATTAGTTTCAACGATCCTTCCAAATAATATTTATCAATATTTCAGCAAAGTTTAATTTACAAATTTGTTAGAAAAACTTTCCCAAAAAAGGGTAAATTTTGCTTAATTATTAACACTTCTCTAATTATTGACGAAAAACAGAAGATTGTAAGCTGATTTCTGTGAGATTGAGAGTGAAATCCCCAATAGTTTTGAAGTGTTTAGGTGATAAAAACAAACATATTTTAACTATCTTATCTTCTCTTGACATTTTTTTATGTAGTTAATGTTTAGAATACTTCCATGTTCTAAAATAAATGTATTACAATATTGTGAAGTAAACTTTCAATAAGTAATACTTATTGAAAGTAGCTAAATTTTGAAGATTTGAAAAAAAAATCTATACTATTGATCTCATATGCGTATAGTGTTTATTTAAGTAATTTCTTACATTATTTTTAAGTAAATAGGATTATCTGTATTTGCAAGGAAGTTTTTATCCCGAATTGAGTATTGACTTCGTGGCCGTGTGTCAATATGTGTAGTAATATGAGTTGTTGCTCCAATACATCATTTCCGTTCTTATTTGCGCCGAGTAAGTGTTAAACACACACCCATTGCTTAACTTTCATTCTCAATCGCAAAAAAAAATATAAGAGAAAATCATTAAATATTAAAAAAAATATATTATTAATAAGTTTTTCGCTGTAAACATTAAAAAATATATACAATTCCACGAAAACAATTTCTCAAATTAGAGAAGGTTGAGAAACTTTGCGGAAAAATTTGCGGACAAATGCCGAGAATAATAACATATTTTGTTCATGCACGAAAAGCTCGATCCAAGGTTTACCCGATTTTGGAAATAAAAGCGCGAATGAGAGAGAGAGAGGAGAGAAGAGAGAGGTGACCTCTGTACGTGCACTTGGCCGTTTTAAAATTAGACTTTTGTAGAAACGGATTTAGAACTGCGTGCGAACATCTTGAAGATCACACCGATCCTCGAAGAGAAAAGGGAACAACAATAATTGTCGACGAGTTATTTCCGCGCTAACAAAGATCTTATTTTTACCGCAAGACTTGAAAAAAATAGAGTCCGTTTTACCATTTATGGGTACGTGGAAAATGCATTTCGTTTGAAGTGAAAAATTTCGCATGTTTATTTACAAACGCCAATGAATGATAATGGAAAAAGACAGAGAATGGGGGAGAGAGAATGGAAGAAAACACAAAATATGCATGTAGTAAACAAGTCTGAGTGAGTCAACTTAAAAATAGAGCAAATTTGCGTTTTCGCATTCATACATTTTTTTAATTTTAGTTCCGACGTTTATCTTTATACTTTCCTTCAATTGGTTTGTTTTTTTTTTCTACAGCAATACTTCGAATAGTGCGGATTCCCTATAGTCCGGTTTGAAAATTTCAAAAGAAATAAAATTAATTGAGCAAAATAATAATTAATTTAATTTTTCCATTAGTCCGTATTCAAACAGTGATGGAATCAATTACCCGGACTATGCGAAGTATTGAAGTACTTCTTTCTTTTTGGTTTTTGTTTTTGTTGTTTTAGATGCAATCGATATGGGGAAAAGACAAACTTTAGTTCCGACGTCTTTCTTTAGCCTATAGTTCAATTGGGTTTTTTTTCTACAGTAATACTTTGCATAGTGAAACTTCCATTATTGTCTTCGATTAGTCCGGATTCAAACAGTGGTGGAACCAATTACCAGGACTATGCTAAGTATTGCTGTACTTCTTTCATCTTGGGTTTGTTTATGTTGTTCTCGATGCAATCGATATGGGGCGAAAACGGTTTTTGGACCGTGCTGTACTCTCTCTCTCCGGCCGCCAGACTTGTTCTTCCTGTTCCCCATCAGGAATCGCAACCCTCGGGTAACGTTCCCATCGCCAATGGCGGTGGGATCTATTGAAGGTCGGATCCGCACCCTCCGGAACCCCATTCCAAAAGACCCCCCAAAAAAAGAAACCCATAAAACCCAAAAACAAATTCGGAAATATACCTGCACCCAAAAATAGCAACAACACCCATAATTTCTACAAACCAAAACCAATCCATTATAATTAAGGAATTGCCTAGAGAAATATTTTGGGCTTTGATTATCCGCACTATGCGACGTACTTGGAATATATCGCCAAAGAATTATGTCAGTGAACTATAGGAGAGAGTGTTTTGAATTCTTAGGATTTTCCGACTTGCAAATGAATAAAGAAAGCAAGTGAACGAGAAATGCGATTCGATTTTCTAATTTCCACGTATGGAAAAGTCGCGTTTTTTTTTCCAATTGTCGAATCGGACAACCAA